ATGAATTCAACTCCATTCTTCCTGATTGTGTCATTCTCAGCACAATAAGCTATATTATTTTTCTATTCAAAATTTCAGCTCACTAATGTCTAGGATGTCCATCACTTTGCATTCCATTTCCTTTGTGACAACTTCCAATTTTCCTAGATTCATACTTAGTACATTCCAACTTCTGATTATTAGTGGGGGTTTGCCGCTTTTTCTTCTCATTTTGAGTTGTGCCCCGTCAACACATGAAGATCCCAGAGGCGTGACTCCCGCAGGCTTTCCTCCATGTGCATCACTGTGGTCGACTCTGCTTTGAGAAGGCAGCTCTTCCTCAGTCACATCTTGAATGCCGTCTGACCTGAGGGTTCATTTTCCAGCACTATCTCTGACAACGTTCTGCTTCTGTTCAAGAGGTTTTCTGCATCTGACAATGTTTTGATGCTGTGCGTAAGGTTTTCAGTGTCTAATTCCTCAGAAGTGGACAGCCTATTCCTTCTTTTCAGTGTGCTCTTTGTCTGAAAGCTCCCCTGACACCTGTTCTCTTTGGGTGACCCTGCTGGTATTTGAAATACCAGTGACATAGCGTGCAGCACCATGGCAACACACAAGCCACCACAGTAAGACAAACCGACAAACAAGTGGTAAAAAGCTAGATAGGAGAGGACTATTTTAACACATTTTCTTTGTTCAGAGATGTTGGTGGAGATTCCTGAAGTTGATTAAGAAATAAAAGCCTAAGCTGTTAGAGATTGGGGTGGTAACCATTAGCAGTAAAACCACATATGGCCATAGAAGGTGGTTTGGGGGGATGAAGAGAAATTAGGAGGGATGGCTAGAGCGGGTTACATATTATTTTTCAATGTAAGCTCTCTTTGACTTGTTTCTGTAATCTTACATTGAGTCATTGTTTCCTTTGAGGAGTTTTTTGCCTTTGCAATTTCACTTTGAAAAGTATTGTTCACTTAATCTTTATTTGTGTTCTGGATTTTTTTTTCCATTAAAATCTTTACATCATCGTTACTTTATTTTGACATGTAAGAATGGTTCTCTCATTGACTTACAGAAAGACAGTACACTGGATGCTGCTGAAGAAATCATCAAGGCCTGGAAAAAGCAGAAGTCTTGATGGAAGCCGACTGCATTGGGTGTTTATGGCGAGATTGCAGATGGAATTGTTAGTGCTGCCACCTGCTGGATACTTGAAAACCTTTTTTTTTTTTTTAAATACAAATGGAATTCAGAGGCAATATCCATCCTTTTTCCAGAGAAGTTATCCCCACTCCTAACAATATTCAGGGAATCTGATTTTACTTTTGCAACTGACATCTGCCCACACACCTCCTGCTGCCATGTTGGCGGCACTCGGCAGCAGAGTGGATGAGAACTTGGAGGTGCAGGGTGTCTGGGCTTCCTTTTCCTCGCCATGAAGGGAGCGTAAAAAAGCACCAACTTCGTATGATTGCTTGTGAGAATTGAAAGAACTAATAAGTGTAAAGCCTGGCGCCATAAAGACTCAGTTAATGGGAGCCAGTTTTGTGTCATTCGGTGCAGACTCCCTGCCATCACCTTTGTGCCCGGTCTTTGCTCTGTCTTCGAATCTGTAGTTCCTTCCCTCCCTTTCACTTGCCACTGGCCTTGAGCTTTGCGCACACATGTTCCACCAGCATGTGGGGCAATGTCAAGGTCCACATGCATTACCCAAGTTTTCTAGCCTTGACCTCCTCCCTTGACACAGATACCCACTCCCTTGACACATCTTGAAACTCATCATTCTGGCTGCTTCACCTTGAGGACTCATAAATTAGTCACCTCCCATTGGAACCGCCTACCCCAGCTCTCACCCTTGCTTGCTTGTTCTTCCTCTCTCTCTCTCAGCAACTCTCAAAATCTCACTTCTTTAAATTAGTAGAATTTCAAATCCACGATTTTTAAAAGATGGTCTTTGATTCAGAATCAATTTGCGTCATTGTTGAAAATGCAGATGATAATTTTCACCCCAGGCCTGTGGTAGCTGGTCAGGATTTGTCCATTCCTAAGTGATTCTTGGGCACATTGCAGTTAATAAACATTTCTGGAATGCATAGACCCCTCTATTCCTATCAGCCTTCTCATCTGCTCACTCTTTGGCTTAGGAGCCCGGGTGGCCCCTTGGTTCAAGCTTACCAGCCACTCCACAGGAGAAAGATGTGGCAGCCCACGTCTTTAAAGAGTGAAAGCTCTGAAAACCATATGTGGCAGTTCTACTCTGCCCTACAGGGTTGCTACGAGTTAGGATCAACTTGAAGGTTATAACCTTGGATTGGTTTGATTTGGTTTGGTTTTTCCTCATCCACCTGAGATTACATTGTCCATCACTTCAGCCAATATACTTTTGCTGCCTTGAATAATTTCCCCATTGTTGTATCTCACCTATCAGGCCAAAAAAAACAAAAAAGAATTAAACGCTGGGGCAAATTCTCTTAAGTCTGCACTAGGGCTGACAAGCACGCCTGAAGCAAATTGCACATTGGAAGTTGCAAACAGCCATTAATTGACATCACCAACCTCAACAAGACATAATTCTGTTCTCTCTTGGAAAGTTTCTCTGCCTTTACACACAACAGCAATTCCTAATGTGTTAGTCTGGGCCAACTGGAAAAACAAATTCATAGACACTTATAAGTGTGTAAGAAAGAACTTTATATAAAGAATAATTGCATATTAAGAAAACATCCCAACCCAGAGCACTCAAGTCCACGAGTCCAATATTAGCTCATATGTCCAATACCAGTCTATAAATTCCTCTCCAGATTCACACAACACGTGCAATGATGCCAAATGTGGCAAGATCACAGAGCAGTGACACAACACATGCAATGATGCCAAATGACAAGATCACAGAGCAGTGGGTGGAAAGTCTTGTGGATCCAGTGGCGGTGGAAGCATCTCAGTGCTGGCATGGGTCTCCATGTGGCTCCTCCAGCTCCAGGGCTCTGGCTCCATCAGTGTAGCTCCATGTGTCTTGCCAACGGGAATGCCAAGCAGGGAGTGTCTCCTATCTCTAGGGATGAAGACAGGAGTTCCCAGAATCCTCAGGAGAAGGCCATGCCCACACACAGGCCTCATTGGCTATGACCTGGTTGACAGGCTAGACTCCATCCCATCACTCAAGTTGACAGGAGATTATGTAACTGTCACACCTAGTATTCCAAATATTTTCCCATTTTCCATCATAAAATAACAATCTTTTATTGTATAAGGAACTCTTGTGACACTGCCAGCTGAGCACTGGGTGGCTGACATCAAGATTGATGGTTCAAACCCACCATCCAGCCTCAGAAATTTCATATAGAGTCACTATATAAAGCTGCCCATCCTTTGAGACCTTATACAGGGTCACTATGAGTCAAAATCAACCCAACGACAGAGGGTATTCTCTTCCTACCTCAAAGCCCACTACTGCTATCACAATTCACTTAAAATGACTTTTATCCTATTTCTGTGAAAAATAGCAAAAGCAAAACCCACTGGAACCCTACTCCTAAGCCTGTGGCTTAGTCTATATCAGCGTACATTATTTGGTATTTTGAATAGCAGTAGAAACCCCAAGTAAAATTATTAGTTTATGCACCAACTTTTTTGTCCACCAGAGCATAGGCCCACATTTTGCAGCTCTGGGCTTGTCCAATAATGCTAAATCCACTACTTATCCTCCATTTTCTGTTTCTTCTCACTGGGGAGGATTTGACTCCATCCTTTGCCTTATGTATTCATCCCTCACTGGCTCCCCTCCTCACCGCTGAAACATATTGAAATCTCTCTTATCTTAGAAAATCATTTTCCTGACTCCGTCTACTGTACCTTTACATACAACTCCCAATAAAAATTCTTTCATAAGTACATGTTCATTGACCTCCTACCATACGCCTGCCAGACATTCTTCTGAGCACTTAGGATATTTTGGTGAACAAATGAAAGACCCTGCGTAAAATCCAAGCACAAAGAAACCCATTTTGTTATGGTGTGCCCTTGAGATAACTTTGTTTCACAGCCACCCTATGTAACGGGACTGTCCTATAGGACTTCCTTTCCTATGGGTGTGATCATCCCTTAGGGGCAGGTCATCAGGTCTTTTCTCCAACAGAGCATCTGGTGGCCTTGAACTACTCACTATTAGGTTAGCAGCCAAAGGTTTAAATATTGTGCCATTAGAACTCCTTAATGAGATGTGTAGTCTATTAGAATGATACATGATAAATGTATTAACAAGAACAAGACAGAAGGGAACGCGAGTACTAGGAAGCATGTAGGTTTCAAAGCATCATCAGACCAGTCACATCAAGGGGACTAGGAAGTAAGCTTAAAGGAGAAGAACAAACTTGGCACCGATCTTGAAGGAGGAGCATCCCAGGCAAATCCTTCAGTGCAAACACTGACGCAGAGCCCCTCCCCTCCCATGTGGGACGAGTGTGCGGAGTCCAGTGCGGCTGGCAAGAAGGGAAGCGCAGGATATTAGGTCAAGAAGTAACACAGGGCCTTGAGGATTATAAGAATGGTGGCTTTACTCCTAGAATTTACATTTTGTAAAATTTGTATATTTAATGTGTGATTTAAAATATGTATTACATATTTACATTTTTAAAATATGTATAATTATGTGTACGGAAACACTTTATCATTTTTCCCAGTGGGAAATAACACAAACAGAAGGATGTCCAATATTGGAGGCACAGTAATACAATGGAATGCTTTACAGCAATGAAAATGAACAAACTACTGCTACACAAAATAGCGTGAATGAATCAGCACATACTGTTTGCATGGTGCCTTTTACTAATCACTAGGATGTCTCAGTAGACAGGGGATTCTCTAATACTGGAATGTGGTAATGTGACCATTGACATCTAGGATATCCGCCCAACTTTGGAAATTCTATAACTCCATCTGCCCTCTAGGATGAAGGGATTTCTTGGTGAGTTGGCCCTGGGCCCAGTTTACAAAGTGTCTGGATGATTAAAGGAACAGAGATCACTGCCCTTTATAACTCATCTGGGATAAGGATGCCTGACTTGGCCGGAGAACAGAATCAATTTTAATTGTGGACCTTATGGGTGAATTGTACAATATCTGGGCAAAGAAAATCTTTACAGTCTGACCTAATGTCCCTGAGACTTTAGAAGCCAATCCTGGGCCTGAGGCTTTCAGATGCATAACTGAATTGCCAGGCCTTTTACAATAAATAAAATCAGTTGGGGGAAAAAATCAGTTGGATCTCTAACAACCAGCAGTGAAAAATCCTAAAGGGAAATTAAGAAAACAATTCCATTATAATACTATATAAGAGAATAAAATACCTATGAATCTAACCAGGGACATAAAGAATTTATAGAATGAAAACAAAAAAAACACTAAGAGAGATTACAGAAGTTTTAAATAGATATTCATATTCATGTATTAAAAACGTTAATATTGTTAAGATGTCAACACTACTCATAACAATTCAATGCAATTCCTATAGAAATTCTAATTTTTGACAAGTACTGTATGCTAAGTATATTCAATGGAAAACGAGAATCTCTTCTAAAAATGGTGGTCGCTGGCTAACTAATGATATGGGGGGTGATTTATGATATTCTCCAATAAAATGATAACAGTCTCACTAAATGAGGCAGAAACTAATGTAAACCATAGATATATAAATGGACTTTGGTCTCACGCTTAATCCTAATCTTAGAACAATTAGTTCTTATGGCATGTCCCTACTCAATACTCACTCTCATGGAGCAATCATGGAAGATATGGGTTCTGTAACAAAGTGTGGTAAAGAAAGTAGATGATGCCCAGTTATCAGAAAGAATGACACCTTAAGTTCTTAAAGGCTTGTCAAAAAAAAGCAGTCATCTAAGTGAGGCATCAACTAAGTCCATATGGAAGAGGTATACCAGTCTGTGTGATCCACGGATTGTAAATTATAAAATCCAAATCTGGAGGAGGAAATTATATCAGAGCTGAAATTCTGAACACCCAGTTTATAGAAGGATGTGAATGACAGTGGAAACCCCAAATCCTTTTGCCAGATTTCCACGTGGATTAAGCTCTGGTCCATTGTCCAGGGATGTGAATAGCCTTGGTATCACACAGAGAGCACTGTAAAGTTAATTATGGAAGATGCAGTTATCTTGAAAATGTAACACCTTATCATTTGATATCCCTTTTGACGCATTTCATATTTGTTCGTTTTTAATATTTTTCTGCTTTCTTTTTGATTCAGGTTTTCCCCTGTTTGTCATTTTTGTCCACTTTGTTTTGGTTTTAATTTGATTGTTTCGGGGTGTGGGGGTAGTGTGGGGTTCCCCCCCCCCTATATATGAAATTCAATATGGGTTAATCTGTACAAACAGTAACTGGATTAATAATTACCTAGGACCACTGTAACAGAGGTTGGGAGAAATGAGAAGATATCAACAATAACTACCAGAAAGAAAAAAATGTTCTAAAACTGATTGTCATGATAATCGCACAGCTCTTCTTAGTATGATTGAACAATTGAAGTGTATGATATGTAAATTATATACCAATAATAAATAAATAAATAAATAAATAGTGTTAGGGCAACTGGATTGCCACATACAGAAAAATGAAACATGATCCTTGCCTCGCAAACCCAAAACAAAAAATTATTAAAAAAACAACCAGGGGCAATGTTGTCAGACCTAGCTTTCAGCACTGGATTATCTATTACAATTACAATTACAAAAGCACAAACAACAAAAGACAAGATAAACAAGACCACATAAAAATTAAAAATTGAGAGAGATTCGTTTGTCAAAAGACTTTATATTCCTAACTTAAAGGCTATCTATCTTCAGAAACCATATATCCAACAAAAATCTAATAACTAAAATAGATGTAAAATTTGAACACAAAATCAAAAAGACCAATAACCCATTTAGCAAATGGACAAAGGATTTAAATAGCTCATCAAAGAGGACATTCAAATAGCTACCAAACACATGAAAAGATGCTCAATATCATTAACAATCAGAGAGTTGAAAAAAATCACAGTGGAATACCACTATACTCTCACTGTGATGGCTAAGAT